GATGCACTAATATATTTGAAACATTTAGTTTATCAGAATTAAATAATTGTTTTCTAATAATACTTAAATGAAATAAACATTGTAATGTAGCATTGGCATAGCATGAAACTTTGTCAGTATTTTGAAAACCACGTATAACCCAAGAAGTAGTACTTTGTCGAACTTTTGATCTGACTGTTGAACGGAAGTTATTATTTTCGGTAATGTCTATGACACATCTTTAATTTTACGGTAACTCTTTTGAAATAGTAATAATAATTTGTGCTTCTGGTTTATGTAGTCGTTTAGCCGATTATATTCAATAATTGCTTCTTCACTAGTTATTATAGATAAGGAATCATGATTAATCAAATACGCATTAAGGTTCACTTTCATTGCTAATTTTACTTTAATTTTATATTAAAATTAGAATTCTATGAAGGCATTGTGAACAGCAGCTTAATGGACAAAACGCTTTATGTATATGTTATACGTACGACTGAAAAAATTTGAAAAGCTGGAATGGTCCCTTTTTGATAAACAATCTCCAGATCTCGGTATCGGCTGTACCAATTTTATTCGGACTGATCGCAATCGAAAGATACCGACGACATATATTAGGTGTTAAACTTAATTCCTGCCGTTTTTTGTCTCCAAAATTGATTTGTTTCGAAGGGAAGATGAATGAATACCTTAATCAAAGTAATTTTCTCCATTTTCTACTTTATTACTAATTAATAATACTTTATTAATAATACTTTGATTAAAGTATTTCCCTTCGAAACAAATTAATTTTGGAGACGAAAAACGGCAGGAATTAAGTTTAATACCTAATAATAAAAGTGTTTTTAAATCTTTGATTGCAGCTTTAGTTTCTGAGTAGTTTTAATCTAAAGTACATAAAAATTTAAAACGGGCCGCTTAACCGCTTAACGTGTGAACATCATTGCGTATATATTCATGCCGTTACCAAATTCGCGAGACTATAAATGGCATGAATATATACGTAATGATGTTCACACATCAAGCGGCCTGTTTTATACACTTTTAATTTAAAAGTAACTTATTAAAGTATTAAAGTAACTATACAGTGAAATGTCGACACATAATACAGTGCTAATGAAACTGTAGATAAATAAGTCGGTAAATGACAGTAATAAACGAGTGCCATCTACCGTCGAAAATATGAAAAGGAGATGATTTTTTGAGGCGACGTATCTTACATAAAATTTTGACATTTCGGATTTCGCATCACGATATCTCCGTTCGTGGGACACGTAGAGGTAAAATAAACGTTCATTATCTAATTCGGACCCAAGCTGTCGATGGAGCTCATATTCAGAACTCGATCGGTCTAGTCTTTATTAAAAAAAACCGAGAATTTCTGATGCTTGGATGCCCGCAACTCGATGACTCGCGTAGAGACACGCGTGTCTCGCACTGCGCGTCCACTTGGTGCGAGACACTACCGTGTCTCTTGATTTCAAGACTATCTTAAGTAATGTTTACGACGCTAATACGGCCCTCTGATTGGTTCGTGACATCTGAAGCCTGAACTTAAGACCGATCTTGAATATAAGAATTGACTATGAATACCGGCCATTGACTTATTGTTATTAAAATCGGTATATTTTGTTGATTTGCGCACCATTTTTCGCACTGACTCCCATAACCCCTGTTGTTATTTATTGTTTATTATTATTGGGAGTCCTTTAATTATTATTTTAAAAGGAGTTGAAATTTGGCAGTATAGATTAATCGAGTTCTCAATATTAAAAACAATATTACAATAAAAACCAGGCAATTAAGAGCTAATACACAGTTATTATTAATGTACATCAACCGTTCTTCTTTATTCTTGACCTGTACATATATTTCCGACGTTTTGGTTGCTTTTTTCAGCCATTTTCATTCAGCATAAGAATCCAAAAATTAAAATTTAAATGCTATTATTGTGAATGTAGGCGCAATTGGTAAATCCCGAATAATTCTACATTTGATCATGTGAACGGCTCTTCTAACGGAGTTAAAATTTATATAATATTTACATAATTAACCCTTTTTGCTCTTGCGGGCGACTATAGTCACTTTCCACAAGACGTCACTTGCATTACGATGGGTGACTATAGTCGCTAACCAAAAAATTCCGTAACGAAGTATACTCCGTATTTTTATTCTGAACCTGCAAAATATAGCTCTGTTTATATTTTGTTTATGTTCTGATTCTACGTTTACGCCATTGTTGCTCAAATATTGCTTTATCTTACTTTGTCTCGATACGATTTTTTTTACGCTGCCCGAACGCTAAAGATTGTCCACGGATAATATGTATACTTTTGATGCGGCGTCTTGTTCAGCGGGAACGTTTCGAAGACAGAAACTTTTCAGCGTACAGAAAAGATTAAATATATTTATTTGATCAATTAATCAAATATATTTAGTTATGTAAATATGCAAATTCTTTTTTTTTTAATTAAAGTTGTATTTTCAAAATTAATTGAACTACATATAAGAATAACCATTGAATAAGCAAAGATTTAATAATTTTGATATTTTTAAGCATAGGATATTATACGATTTTAATTTTAGATAATACAGTCATGGACAAAATTGAGTGGACACTTATTTATTTTATATAAAAGTATTGTAATTTTATCAATTTTTCTAATCAATTTCTTATTTTTCTACTTTATATTATAGTTTGCATTGTCATCAATAAATTTGGCTAGTAGTTTTATAGAATAATGTGATTTATTTCAAATAAAAATTATTACAAACTAGAATAAAACAAAACATTGTGGATAAAATTGAGTGGATACTCTGCTTTATTGATCGAAATCAGGGTCACAAAGTGTTATCTTATTTATATTCTATGATCTGGAATGTTTTGAATTTCAATACTGATATCTCGTTCCACTGACATTAGTATATTTTCAAAATTGGAAAACCGGAAAGAAATTTTGCTACAAATCCGAGAATTAGTCATTTGTGACTGACGAGAAGGCCTCAGTTATAGAAACATATATTGCTAAGAAATATCATATTTCAAAAAGCGCTGTCGTAAAAATTTGGACAAGTACATAAAACTTAACATTCTGACTAATTTGAAAGGTCGTGGTCTTAAATGGTGTACTACACAACATCTTGATAAAAGGATTGTGAGGGAATGCCGAATAGAACCAATTATCACACGTTGTGAAATAATTGACAGACTGAATCTAAACGTATCAGAAAAGACGGTATCTCGTAGATTGAAAGATGCAAATTTGCACAGTCGCATACCATTGTGAAAACCATTCATTACTGACTTGAATAAGCAAAAACGTTTAAACTTTGCCAAAAAATACATTAATTTGCCTGTTTCGTTCTAGAGAAAAGTTATTTGGAGTGACGACAGTAAATTTGAATTGTTTGGTAAGAAAAAAAGACAAAGAGTTTAGAGAAAATCAAATGAAGCATTCGGACAGAAATTCATCTCGCAAACTGTAAAATACGGAGGAGGTTCCATTATTGTGTGGGGCTGCTTCTCTTGGTCCAAAGTTTGAGATTTAGTTGCTCGAGGGAATTATTAATGCTGAGCGATATATCGACCTCATTGATGAAAATTTGGAAGAATCGGTAGAAAAAATAGATATTACTAACAATTTTGTCTTCCAACAAGACAATGCTCCCATACACAAATCCAAGAAAACCATAAAATTTCTCGAAGATTCCGCAATAGAAGTTTTAGACAGGCCTCCGCAAAGTTCGGACTTGAACCCCATTGAGAACTTGTGGGCCATACTCGACAAAGAAGTACCAAAGAAGATTATCAACAGATCGAATAAAGCCGCATTTTTCGATAGCTTACAACGATCATAGCAGTATACATGTAACGAAGGATAAGATTGAACATTTAGTGGATAGTATTCCTAGGCGATTACAAGCGGTTATTAAAGCTAAAGGAGGAAATACAAAATATTAGAGCAATATAAAAAGCGTGCAATATGAAAAATATGAAAATGTCCACTTAATTTTGTCCACATTATTTTGTTTCATTCTAGCTTGTAATAATCTTTATTTGAAAAATAAATCACGTTATTCTATAAAACTATTAGCCAAATTTATTGATGACAATGCAAACTATAATATAAAGTAGAAAAATAAGAAATTGGTTAGGAAAATTGATAAAATTACAATATTTTTATATAAAATAAATAAGTGTCCACTCAATTTTGTCCGTGACTGTATATTAGGTCGGGGAAAAAGTTTCTTCATATCAAAAAATTTTTTTCTAAAAGTTTTTCATTTGTTGCAAAATTTTCGCTACAATTATATCATTCGCTAGAGTAAAGTTTCAGCTTTAAGAATCTGTTTTTTAAACTGCGGTATGATGATTTTTATCGGAGTTATGAGCAATCAAAGTCAGAATGCTCTTTTACTTAACTCGCGAGTAACTCAGGAACAAAAAAATTAAACATTAAAAAAAATGATTTTATAGGAAAAGCTTTAAGCTTTCATGACAAATAATCGAACATTTCCGTAAATTTTTTTTGGACACGTGAGACTTTTTGGACACCTCAAAAATAAAAGAAAATTTTTCATCTTTTTCAGGTCGTAGTTTTTTAAATGTAAAAATTACCAAACTCACAGAAACTAAAAAAATATAGTAATATAGTCTTTCGAAAGTAGAGATATTTCAAGTTTTAAAATTCCTTTTTTAATTTAAATTTCATTTTTGACGAAGATATTGTATATACAATTTTGTATTAAAAAATACGAAGAAACTTTTTTCCCAACCCAATATTATTTTAATTATACATTTTACAATACGCTGCCTATTATAAATTGTTTATAACAATTTGATACTTATAATCAGGATAACAATAAAATTTCGGCCAATGTTAAAGTATTACCAGAGATAACACTTGAACCACCGTTTTTGGACCAACGCTTAGCTTCATTAGATCATTTAAGAATTTCTGTCGATTCTGAAGAAGATATGAAAAAGCAGGAAAGAGTAGAAAACTTGGATGCTGCAGTGACTGCTTGGCCAGCTTGGGTTTATAGACAGTACGATCCTATAAGACTTTCTTTTAGAATACGCCAGCATCTACAATTTCTTGAAACTAGTAAGTGTTGTAAGTGTATAAATAAAATTATATTTTAATATTTATCACAATTTTTAAAATTACAATTTACATTTTAGGAGGTGGTAGTGTACCCAAAAATCCCATAGATTTATCTTTTTGGGTCGCACAAAATATCTTAATGGATCACAATGAGAGACTCATGTTGTTAACTTATGATTGTGCTATTTCTCGATTACAAAGAGAAATAAAGTATCTCGTAGAGGTACATATAAAATAATATCATACCATATATAATAATTAGACTATATGTATTTTTTATATATCGCTTTTAATATAAACATCTGTGGTTTGAAGGATAAGATATACGTATGCGTTAATTGTGAATCCTTTATTGGGAGGCAGTCACATATGTTTCCGATGAATAAAGAAGGCCCACAGGGTACTTATGTCAATCCTGGTGGTGTTATACATGAAACTATAACTTTTTATCATGTTCAAGGAGTTGTACTTAACAATTCGGATCCTTCGACTGAGTATAGCTGGTTTCCAGGGTAAAATGCGACATTGTAGTATATCAAGAATCATACGCGAGTTTTATTTTATCTCTAATAACAGTAATAACTATATCATTTTAGATATGCATGGACAATAGCTATCTGTAAAGGTTGTCGTCATCACGTTGGTTGGAAGTTTACAGCAGTTCAAAGTAATTTAAGGCCCAAAGAATTTTGGGGATTAACACGTAGAAGCTTGAAAAATAAAGATTTAAAAGTTAAGAAGAAGAAATAAATAGAGGATTAAACATTAATATACATTAAGCATTATAATTGTCTTAGCAGTTATTAGATGGATATTCTTCGATTCAAACAAACAATATACAGCCACGTCGCAGGATATTGTTAGTGAATGTCATTTATTTAAAATTCTGACGTTAAAAAATATATAGATCTAAACGTTTTGGTCAAGTTTCGACTATCATCAATAGTTAAAAACTATATTAAAAGATATTACAAATTTGCGCTGAAAGTTTCTACAAAATATAAGCTGTTTCCAATTTCTTACGTTAGTCGAAGTAAAATAATGCAAGATGTTACAAATTAAAACTGAATGTTTTTTTGACACTGTTTTCAAATTCTTCATTAGTCATATTGATATTAATGTCCTTATGTTACAGATTTTTTTTTTAACGCTGTGTGCGAACGCAAGACTTCCAAATATTGTACTAGAAACAGCGATCATCAATGGTTACACAATAATTGTCTGAAATTTTACAAATGATATCAATATCACACCGTTTCACAGAAAAGGTTATTTTTATCATCCTTTAATAATTAATTTGTAAGATTTTGGACAATTATTGTGTAACCATTGATGATCACTGTTTCTAGTATATCAGGTGGAAAAGAAGAACTGACCATCTCACAGAGAAACATTATTGATACAAACACACGATGAACATTGTACACTGAATGGATCTATCTTATATCTCGTCGAAGTAGTATGTACTAAAGATGGCTAAAAAATTAGCCGAAACATATTTGCGAGCGATTATTAAAATTTTGTAACTAGTTGTTCTAATTAAAAGTCAAATACTTGACTAAACGTTAACATTGATATTTATCGTGCATTTTCTACAGCGCTAATTTCCAAAGCTATTGAGTTACTAGATTAATTTATTCATTTGGTTTTAATTTGTAACATCTTGCGTTATTTTACTTCGACTAACGTAAGAAATGAAGACAACCTGTATTTTGCAGAAACTTTCAGCGCAAATTTCTAATATCTTTTAATATAGTTTTTAATTATTGATGATGGTCGAAAATGATGACCAAAACATTTAGATTTATATATTTTTTAACGTCAAAATTTTAAATAAATGACATTCGTTAATAATATCCTGTGACATGGCTGTATGCTCTTTGTTTGAACTGTTTATATATTTAAGCTACCTTATAAAGGTTTAATTTGGATATTCTTCAAATCAGTACATCATATTTATATATTATATTACTATTGCGCAATGTATTATTTTATATATCGATACAATATACATATTATTTTCCAAATGAAAGATTAATGTTAATTGGTTTATAAATTAAAAGATTATATTTTATCAAGATTGCGATTTTTTGTTTATAAGAGAGTCTTCGACTCTCGAAAATCATTTAACACAGTTTTATAAAGGCAAAGATAAATAAAGATTCTTTAAAATATAAGATATAATGTGAAGTATTAGCTACATATCATACGCACGCGCGCGCGCGCACATACGCAGTCTGCGTTTAGTAAAGAAACCAATTAGTACTTAGTGATTTTTCAATATGATTGGTTTCTACATTTAGATCCAGCAAAGCACTAAAGGCAAGAACCAATTATATTAAAGAATCACTAAGTACTAACTAATTAGATTTAAATCGACGTGATCTTGACCCGGCCTTGGCGACGCCACCCAAGGTCAAATCAATAATACCTTCTTATGTCCTTCTCCGAACCATAGAACTTTTGTTTGAAACATTTTATTGTATCTACCATAGTATTCGATTAAATATTAAAAATGAGACACCTTGTATATATTAGGTGTTAAACTTAATTCCTGCCGCTCGCTACTAGAAGGTGCTGGCTCTAACGCTGGCGAGTTTCGACGATGAAGTCATATATCTTTTGTAGTTTAGACATCGCTGAAAGTGATTC